GGGGGGGTGTTATCACGTTTGTCGTCACGACAACGTCACCCCTGCTGTTGACCTAATCCGATCGGGGTCAATCTAACGGTGATTAAAAATGCCGCCGTTAGAAAGTAAACTTGAGTTCAAACGTGACATTTTTTTTTTTTTTTTGTACAGTAATTCGTTGAATTGCTGGTTAGGCCGAGCCACAATACAATACAGTGGATTCAAATCCTGTATAGAGTAAAAAGGGTGAGGGGGGGTTATATATATCCACTCATTAAGGCCGACTTTCACCGATTGCCATTCCTTAAGCCTTATGAGCCCCTCACAACTCAATTAAGTCCTTCCAATTAAGACCCCCCCCCTCCTCCCCCGCATGGGTACATGGCTGCATGTGAGCACCATTTTGGAAGAGGATGCGCTGAGGCCTAACCGGATTGTCCTTCATTAGGGGGGGTCCTCTATAAATCGACCCCCCCAACAAAGATTCCTTTAGTGAGACAAAGGGCCGAGGAGAGAACAGAGGAGAGTAGGGGATGCGGGGGGGGGGGCATAACAAGTGAGCGAGGATCTTCTCAATCCTGACCCATATTATGGTGGGCTTTGGCTTGGGGAATGCGTTTGAATATTTATTACAAATAAGATAATGCCTCTTGTGCAGTGGATGGGGGGTGCATTGGGTTAGTGGTGGTGGTGGTGGTGTGGGGGGGGGGGGTCTCCTCCCTGAGCCAAGCCAAATCCGATGGTGGGAAGGTGGCCAACCTGCATTATGCCACTGTGGAGGAATTAGTTGAGACAGTCAAGCTGAGAGGCTTGGACCGACTTGTTGTGCGTACGAGCGTGCGTGAGACATTGTTCAACAAGCTCTAAGTCTTAACGTGTGCGTGCGTGTGTGTATGTGTGAGGCCTCCGAAGCCTCTGGAAGGCTTGGAATGTCGAATTAATACAATTGCTTTTGTGTCTCCCTTGGCTGATGAAACGGTTTCAAGCTTCGAGACCCAAAACGTGTCTGTGTTTTTATGTGTGGCAGCCATATGCAGAATTATTGCACCCCCCCAACCCCCGCCTTCACGAGACTGGACATGAATTGAAGCGTCGTATCTCCAGTGAAACTCCTCTACAACCAAATCATGTTTGCAGCAAGACATTTTTCACAACAGGGGACTTTTCACTGTAGCAAATTTGATCTCAGAGAAAAAAAAAATCGTATAATGGAACAGTGGGACTTTTCGTCGTAGGGGGAGCAGAAAAGTGGGAATGGCTTTCATGCAAGAAAATTTTTTTCACACTCGGGGGTATTTTCGCCCATGTAGGTTTCGTTGTAGAGGAGTTTCACTGCAATTGTATTCGAATGCCTTCTGATGCATTTGATTTATATCAGTTTGCGTGACGACTGCGCAAAAAAAAAAAAAAAGGTTTAAATTGTGTGGAAAAATTGTGTGTACTAGTTTTCAGCTCTCTCTGCATTGTAAATAATCGAGACTGTTTTTCGTATTTGGAATGAGTTTGGATTCTTGCGTCAATTAATTGTCGGTGGCTTGAATAAGACGTGAAGAAATTGAGAATGACATCAAGTTTGGCACGAAAAGGACTGGACTGTAGTGGGCGGCACAGTAAATCAATTGGGGGGCCCACGAATAACCCCCCCCACCATGACACAGACCCTGTATCAAGATTTTGTATTGAGTTTTTGTCACATGCATTTATACAGCAAAGAACGGTGGGATTTGATCATTAATAATTTGATACTTTATTATTTTTTTTAGTCAGACGTGCAAGTAAACTTTTCTCGATTTTTTTTGTCACAAAACTAATTAATAACAATATTGTATGTCATAAAGTAGCGATATTTGCGAATCAGGGGTTGGGTTCAGCAACGGGTGGAATTTGACTTCATTTTTTTTTTTTTTGCACAAAATTATAACGCATGTTAAAATCCAAGCCATTATAAGTCACACAACAACAACAACAACAAAAGAAAATATCACCAAAACCTGACACGCTACCAAAAAAAAAATTGTTTTTGAAATCTGGATCCAAAAATAGATTTCGGGACACACGTCTCCGATACATAATTTGCCGTCAACCAGTGTAACCTTTAAATAGGTCACCAGCGTCGTGACAGCACAGCAGCCCGGTTTCCTCCGCTCCACGCGGCACAGGGACGCCACACATCCAAAGAGGCACTCTTGTGTCGGAGAACGCCGCATGTATGCCGCAGTGATTTGTGCTTGTGTCTGTTCGTGTGCCACGGGTTTGCCTTCTTCAACACCTGCGCGCTGTTGTGCCCGCGTGCGCGCGCGCCAGTGTCTCACCCGAGGGTAAAAGCACTTTAGCGATGTGTGCCTGAGTCCAAACAGCTGTGAGCAAAGGCAGGCAGCGGGTCTCTAAATGACTCGAGACCTGAGACGGAGCCCACAGGGGGAAAGGCACCTCTGAAATATACATGTCACTCACCCGGAGAGCCAAGAGCGAGCGAGCGAGAGAGAGAGAGAGACGGTAAAAGAGCGGATGATCGAAGGGATGAGCGGAGAGAGGGGAGTGGGGCGGGGGGGGCACAGCGGTCACTTGGCCATTTGGGCTCCACGGGGCCTGCCGGGGTTCAGGCACATGTCAGACGCTCTCACTGGGCAGGGGGGGGGGGGTTATTGCGGCTCCCTCCGCCACAGGCCGCAGCACTTTAGGGGTCAGCCCAAGTCCATATATATGCTAATAAGACAGGGGAAAGTATGTTTGTGCCGGTGATGATGTCGTCGCGCGCGCAGTCAGGATGTGACCCTGCTTGTCAACAGAATCATGCGACTTGTTCTCGTGAGAATTTTCAAGTGTGTGTGTGTGTGTTTCTTTTTTGCTGCATTCAATACTGAAGGGAAATTGGGAATATCCCAGTTGGAGCTGACAGGGGGCCTGACCTCAAAGCACATGAACAAAAATAAATGAATCACAACGGCCTGACAAGCGTTGTAAAGTCATTATTTGAAGGCCCTGTGTTGAGAAGTCCTGTGATGTAAAAACGCGCGTTCCTCATGTGGAAAAGTTGGCGGCAAATTGCCATTTCTTGAAGGAGCAGTAAATGCACAAAAATAGCGTTTATCTTGACTTTTATAATCTTTTCGGGTAGGCCTTTTCCTCGGTTGTCGACATTGCCGTGCGGCATCACAAGATTGCATCTGGGAATGTCACAAATACGATTTAAAAAAAAAAAATACGATAACAATTGACAGCCACCCAAAAAGTTTTGAAATAGCCTATAGGTGCGGATTTTTTAACTCATTCGTTTTTTTTTTTTATCTTGGAAAGGAAACATGATTGGTGGCAAACAAACAGCAAAAATAAATACGCCTACAAAAGTGGCTAGCTTAATGCTAACGCAAAATGCCATAAACGTGCGTGACTAGAACCCTTTAAGCAACATTTTTGAACACTCACAGGCATATATTCTTTATCCTCTATGGAAAATGACATTTCACTCTAGCCGACTGAGCCAAAAGGGGATCGTCTTCTCCCCCGTATTTATTATGCGTTATACTGCCCCCATGTGGCCATGGCGTGCACACCAGAAGGAGCAGGCCCATGTCAACGAGGGACGGGTTCACTTGCAGCGTACGTGAGTGAAATAAGCGCTGCACGAGTGTGATCGTCCTGTTCGTCGGAAAACAACTGTTGTAACGCTAAATAACACAATTCGCCTTATCGAAACGCCGTGATCGAATTCGACTCGTCTGATGACGGATCCGTCGGAATTTCTCCGATTAACGACAAAGCGAACCGCGACACAACAAAGACCCCAAAAAGTATGCGTGTTATGAACGCAAGGCCTTTCGGCATTTTTTTTATGGTTATGGTTATTATTTCAATGCGGAATGTCTCCACTATTATATAGCGCTGAGGTTTTCCGACTCAACCCACATAAGGGTTTGTGTGTGTGTGTGTGTGTGTGTGTGTGTGTGTGTGTGTGTGTGTGTGTGTGTGTGTGTGTGCGTGTGCGTGTGCGTGCATGCATGGATGGCTGGTCAAGGTCCCAAAGGCTGACCACATATTCATTGAATTCCACTCGGATTCCCGCCGCCTCTATTGGCCAGCCAGCTGAGAAAATGGCACAAACAGCAAAAGGTCCGCGCCGCGTCCTGCTTGGCTGACTTGCTGAGGTTTTAATCAGGAAAGGTGATTGTTTGATAAGAGGGGGGAAAAAAACGGGGGGGGGTAAACTCCACAAACAACAGCCAGGGAACCATGCGCACGCCACACACGAGACAAACATTGCCACTTGTTTGTGTTGTAACGCTAGAAAACACCAACGTGCACGTTTATGACGACCTTTTTTCTTCCCCCGACCCCCACCTCGTCAATGAATGTAAACACCGCCGGTAATTGTGCCTGTAATTCTTGATACGCTTTACGGCAAGTGTTTGTCAAGTAATCAGGATCTTCTTGTCGAGGTTGAGCACAGCCAAAGATGCAACTTGGCCGGCTTTCACCGAACCAGAGTGGGGGGGGGGGGGGGCAGCAATAGACCTTATTGAAATTTTGTGCTGTTCCATTCGCCAAAACAACATTTTTCTATTTATCTTTGTTTAATTTGGTGGAGGAATGCACTCGACAAAGTGCCCTTCACGTTTGTTTATTTTAACTCAGCGTACGAAAGTTAAAGGGGGGGCTGCGAATTGGAATTTCACACAAATACTATTTTTAAATTGAATGATTTACAGTCACCGGATGGTAAAATGTGGAATGAAATGCTTATTATAAACCAAACCTAATGGACGTTTTGGTGGTCCCTCCAAATTTCGGATTTTTGAAATGGGTGACAATGTGTTATATTTAAAAAAAAAAAAAGTTCCCAGTATCGATTTGCCTTTTTGCGGCGGTGTCGATTTGATTCTAATTTTGTTGACTCGCCACTTATTTTCTTTTGTATTTTCTGCTTTGAAATCGGTTGACAGTGACGGTTGTTTGGGACATTGTTTCGAAATGAAGCTAATCTTATTATTGTTTCATGGCCGCCATTTAGCATTTTGTGCTTTTTCATTTTTTTAGCGTACGAAACGTGCCTTTGTACAACTCCTTTTGATGATTGGATTTGAATAGCTGTTGGAGGATTTGATTAGATTTTTTTTTTTAAGTCTCATTTTGTCTGCCAGTGACCATTACCGCCCCCTAGAGGACACAGGAGTCCAGCCATGGCAGAAGTCGAGCGATTCGGCAACGGAGACTTGGAAAAAAAATTGAATCCTCGCGTATTGATCCCCCGCACGTCCACCGGCTTTTTTTAGCGTTACCACACAAGCACATTTTCATCTTCCGTTTACCTTGGTCTTGTTTAGCTGCGGGGAGCTGCGGCCCTTGTCGCTCTGCGCGTGTGCGTTGGTGGGCGGGGAGTGCGTGCCCAGGTTGGCTTGGGACGCCAGGCCGTGCTGCTTGGCCCCGGGGGAGACCTGCATGGCCGCCAGCTGAGCCGCGTACAACTGCTGCAGTGTCAGGAGAAAAAAAAAATAAAAAGGGGAGGGGGGTGGAAGAAGACCAAGAGGAGGAAGGAAGGGGCAACATGAATAAATGAATACCGGAGCGGGCGCACAAACAAAAAAGAAGAAGAGGTCGGCTAAAAAGCCCAAGAAGAAAGAGGCCATTAGTGGCCGAGCTTGTTTGCGCGACACAGAAAGGGACATCCCCGCTCTTCTTTCCTTCGCCCCCCCCCCCACCCCCACGGGAGCGGCGCTAACAGCCTCTCTGACAGGCTTGGCGATGTCCCCTCCAGGTGCATCGGTGGGGGAGAAAGGGGGAAAAAAAAGCATCGGAGATATCGAGGTCATGCCGTGTGTGTTGCTCAAGGTGAAAAAACCCCAAAACTTGGAACGCGCCAAGCCACACTTTTCACCCTCTATTTTTTTTTGTTGTTGTTGTTGTTGTTGTTAATTAAATCAGCTTTATGAGTGGAACAAAACACAGCTTGCCACCATTATCTACGCATTTAATTAAACAGCATGATGTTGTTGCACTATTTATGCAATCGCAACGCAAAACACCAAACAGTGTCTGGCCGGTCTTTTTCCAACAACTTGGAAAGGGTCTTCAGAATTGCTCGAGTCTCTTTCAAGTGGCTTAATACAAATCCTCCGAGATGGCGCTTGGCTTTTTCAGTGAATTGTCGCTTTGCGCTTCTGAAGAGCAAAAAAAGAGAGCGCTTTTTGCGGGAACGAGCAGATGTTTTTTTTTTTTTAAATAGTTAGGATTGTTATTATTTATTTCTGATTTTAAGATTTTAATTTTCTGGAAGGCAACCATCCAGCTTTTTTCTTCTTCTTCTTTTTTTTTTTTTTTTTTGTCTATAGTTTAACTTCCGTCCTTCTGTTGGGGCTTGGCGGCCGGCCACCGGCGTCAAACAAAGGCTGGTTTTATGCAAATGGCCCAAGGAAGAGACGTTGCTTCTGTCTTTCTCCATCTTTTCTGTCTGTTTGCAACTCTCTCCGTCAGCCCCCCCCAACCCCCCCTCCCCTCTCCGACAGCCGCCGCAACTCGCGATCCCCTCTGCTGTCTTGATGCAGACATTTGTCTCTCTTTAGACAAATAAGAGGAGTGAGTCAATCGAGCTGGCTGTCGAGAGCGAGGTGGGGGGGGAGGGAGAAAAAAAATATTTGAATGTGGACTAATCTGCTGTCTGTCACCGACAATATTCACTGGGAGCTTGTCAAGGCGTTAAAAATGAGAGCACGGCAGTTCAGGCATTCAAGGTAGGAGTGAGCGGCTGCAGTGGCAGCTGGTGACGTGTTACAAAATATACAGGATGGCACGGCGAGGCAGCGCTGAACATGTCTGCCTCTCATATATATATATATATATATATATATATAGTATCGGTGGCTGGTATCGGGGCAGCTTTCACAAGACCCCCAAATCATCCCGATAATGCGCGGAAACGTGCTAACGGGCAAAACCTTCACCAATAGAAACAAGACGCCAGTCAAGCTAATTAGCGACGGGGCTGTTAACCCACAAGATGGAGAAAATGTGTTCTTGCCCACTTCGGTGCCTTTTACAGTCAATAGACCGCTCGCGCGCGGTGCTGATAAATCTCCGCTCGGAGTCGCAAGCAGCTGCTGCTTCTTCCCAACTCGGAAGGGAGGAAGTGTAATTGTGGACCGCGCGGCGGACAGGAAGCGCCGCCGCCGCCGGCGCGCGCACCGGCCGAGGGGGGAGGGTGGCCGGAGCGGTCCGTCGACGAGGGCCACAGCTCGCTGGGATCAGATCAGCCTCAGCTTCAATTAAGCGCTCTGTGTGGCTCGGCACTCACCGATGCGGCCCCCGTCCACCTCCCACCAGTCCCCCC